CCCGTCATATGCCTTGAACATCCGCTATCAAGAAACCATTTGTCCTTGGATAAATATGGAGACTTCAAGCAAACCTACAAAAGGAATTTGAATAATCTTCTTTTGGTACCCATATTCTCTTGGGTCCATGAGAGTTAGGAAAAGGTGTATAAGTCCCTTTAATAACCCAAACTTCTTTTGTCCTACATGGCCTAATAGGACAATGATTGATCTTATGTCCTATTTTTTTACAATAATTACATTGTGGACTAAAAGAGGAATTTTTAACAAAGTAATTGTTCAAAGGTTCTCTCTTTTTCAATAAACAAGAGTCTTTGTTGTGAGGATCAAATCCAAGTCCATCCTTGGCCTAAGCATTTCTTTGCTTTCCAAGTATGAGACCCAAATTTTCTCTACCTTTTGTGAATTTTGCTAAGGTCTCAATTTGATCTTCAATCATAATTTTTAATGATTTATTTTCAGAAATTAAATCTATTGAAACCGATTCTTTAGCTAATTCTTTTTCCTTTTTCAAAGCTTCATTTTCAAGTTGAAAATTTTCAAGGTTTTGAGAGATGATATTCTTTTCCCTTTTTAGAGTAGCACATTTTTGAACCATTTTGCCTAATTCATCATGCAATTCTCTAAAGGCATCTAGCAAGTAATTGTGTGCATCAACTAATTCATCATAAGTAGTTTCCAAATTAAATGAGTCATGATTAGAAATTACCTCATCGTCATCGGCCATGAGACAAAGATTAACCAATTCATTGAGTTCATCGTCACTTTCGGATCCATTTGAATCATCATCCTCCCATGTAGCTTGCATGGCCTTTCCTTTCTTTTTCCTTTCCTTTTCATTTTTGTAGGCATAACAATCGGATTTGAAATGCCCCGGTTTTCCACAATGGAAGCAAGTAGGTGCTTCTCTTTTTCCTTGCTCACTAGATGACCCATTTCTTTTGAAGTTGTTGCTCTTTTGGAACTTCTTCATTTGAAGGATTCTTCTCACGGTTTTGGTAATGAGAGCAACTTCTTCTTCTTCTTCATCATGAGGAGCCTTATCAATTGCAACTTCTTTGGTAGTAGCTTGTAGAGCTATATCCTTCTTTTGAGTTTCTTCATCTCTATCATTCATTTCTAGCTCGTAAGCCATTAATGAACCAATGAGTTCGTCAATGGGAAGTGTGTTAAGATCTTTGGCTTCTTGGATGGCGGTCTTCTTTGCTTCCCAATTCTTTGGCAAAGATCTAAGGATTTTTCTTACATTGTCGGATGATGTATATTTTCTTCCAAGAGCTTTCAAAGGATTAACAATGTTAGTAAAACGAGAGTACATTTCACTAATAGTTTCTTTGTTATTCATGGTAAAAAGTTCATATTTATGGACAAGCATATTCATTTTGGATTCCTTAACATGACTAGTACCTATATAGGTAACTTCAAGTTTATCCCAAATTTCTTTAGCCGTTTCGCAATCCGAAATTCTATTGAATTCGTCTTTGCTTAAGGCACAATAGAGATTAGTGATAGCCTTGACATTACATTGTATAAGCCTACGGTCATTGAGGGTCCATTCAATATCGGGTGTTGGAACATTTTCTCCCTCTACTATCTTGGTTGGAACATGGTCTCCTTTTTCTATGGCTTTCCAAACATCTACATCTATGCCTCTTAAGAATGCTCTCATTTTGATTTTCCAATAGTTGTAGTCACTTCCATCAAACCAAGGGGGTCTATTGTTAGATTGACCTTCTTGATGAAAATTTGTATTGGCCATGATCGTTCTCTAAGATGATTAATCTTTTTCTAGAGATTAGGCTCTGATACCAATTGTTAACCACTAATTGACTCTAGAGGGGGGGTGAATAGAGTCAATGGCCAATTTTCGCAATTTATGAAATTTGTTTTACAACAACTATTATGCAATGATTAATTGAAAAATTCAAGCAATATAAAGCACAAGTATAAAAGAGATAGAGATAGGAAGATGCAAACAATGAACTCGGTGATTTAGCGAGGTTCGGAAACTTCTACTCCTCGGCTCAAGATCCCCCTTGAGACTTCCCAAATTCACTAGAGCTTCTCCTTAATGGTGGAGAGCAAACCTTCAAATTTGAAGCAAGACCTTGCTTCTTTTCCTTGCTAGGAGAACACCCTTCTCTTAGGCTTCTTTTGGGTCACACCAACCTTTACAAGATTGTAGCAAAGTTTGTAAATGAAATACAAGAATCTCTCTCAATAGATATATAAGTGTAAGCTCACAACTAGAGAATATCAGAATATTAATGAAGCTCAAGTTCTAGGATGAGAGAATGTAGTGATGGTTGAAAGTGAAAGCTCAGAGAAGAATTTAAATGGCTTATTGAATGCTCTTGAATGCTCTCTTGAATGTATTATCCAGTGGTGTATTTACTTCAGTAAAATGAGCCTTCTTTATATAGACAACCGAGGCTTAATATGTCTGTTAGAAGTAGTTGGAAGTCTTAAATGCAGAAAAGTACCGTTGAAGATTCAAATAATCTAGAAGAGCCGACTCTACAAAAAATTGGAGGAGGCTCCAATAAATGGGAGGCGGCTCCAATAACTGGGAGGCGGCTCCAATTCACAAAATGCATTCTACGACACACAATTTGGCTACTGGAGTGCAAAGAGCAGGCTCCTATATTTGGGAGGCGGCTCCAATCCTTGTGTAAGACTAAGAATGAGACACATCTTGTTCTGTGCACTTCCTATTATGAGAGCATGCATAAGTAAAGTTCATGGAAAGATTTTAGGCCTTCTAAGAAACTGATTTTTAGAGAAAATATGCATGAACCTAAAAACTTGAGCTTCAGAAGATATTCAAATATGCTTTAACATTTAAATCTAAAGCTCTCACCATCCTATCTACCCGTTTCTCCATTCCCTGACCATGATCTTTTGAGCTTGATGAAGACTTGCTTTCTTCCTTGAAATTGTTTGATTGATCTTTGAAGTTTGAGTCTTTCTTTGATTTCTTGCAATCTTTGAGGCTTCATTGAGTCCATAACTTGAGTACTTGAATGCTTGAAATGGCTCATCTAGCTCATCATATAAAATATGAACTATATATAACTCAATGAAAATATTAGTACATAAACATCATTAATGGTTTGTAATCATCAAAACCTTTAGATAAAAATTCTTAGGCCAACAATATATATATATATATATATATATATATATATATATATATAATATACACACGCACGCATACACATATATTTATATAAATATCATCACCAACCACCAATCACAACCCATCCCTTTTCTCTACTCCACTTTCTCTGTACAGATTTTAATTCACTGGTTATGACTTTGAAACCTTAGAGCATCTCCAACCATTGTGTATATTTTTTTTTTTTTTGTAAATCTGATGTGTCATGATGGATTTATACAAAAATTTTGAATTATTTAATTTTAGCTACAACGGTTGTTTTATACCTTTTGTGTAAAAATATATCTTCCAATAACAATCAACCATGTGTTATGTCAGGACCCCACATAATTTTTACAAACCTACTTAATAGATGGTTGATTCTTTAATGGAATGAGAAAGGAAATATGTTGATTTGGTAGTGTAAAAAGGTTGTGTAAAATACACAACCCTTTTACACATTGGTGATGTGGCAATGTATCTTAACAGACTACTGGAGATGGAAAAAATTTACACATCATAGGTGGCAGTGTATATTTTACACAAAAGGGTATTTTAACATACCGCTGGAAATGCTCTAAGAAATGATGCATATACCAAAACTCCAACAAACAACTGGATTGAGATGTTATTGAAGCTCATTAGAACACTGAATTCGAGTCGATGATCACTAGAACAATTGGGTCTACAAAGAGGATCGTCGGAATAGATGGTACGGAATGAAGCTTGGCCGGACTTAGACGTTATTAAAGCTCGTCGGAACTGTTGTTTACCGTGACTGTAACATGCTGGAACTGAGTTCGCCTGACGTGGATGAACGGGAAGCTTGCTAGACAGAACTGGGTTAAGGTAGATGGAAGCTTCACCGAGGTGGGTCTTGATAGCTTGGAGCTCGCCATTGGGTCAGTCAAAGTTCACCGAAAATGGATAGGCGGAGCTAGCTGCTAGGTATGTCTTCACCGAAGTAGAAGGATTCAGCCAATTAATGGACTATGGGAGAAAAAAGATTAAGAACTTATTAGTATGTGGTGGTCGAGGGTGGTGTTGGATTTTTGTTCCCCTTCATACATTTTAATAGTCCCTAATAAGAATAATTGGTAATTACACTAGTGGTGGGTAGCAGTGATGGTCAAGGACGGAGCCATTCAAAGGTCAGTGGAGGATTTGCCCCCACTAGCTAATTTATTTATTTTTACTAATATAACCAATTAATTTATATTTTTGATATATATATCTACAAAATTACACTATCACCCCATTAGAATTATTAGAAAATTACACCATTGCTCATCTCATACAATTTTTTTGCTTCGACCCTAGGGATCGGGGTGGGTGGTTGGAGTGATATGGAATCAGAAAGTGGTAATGATATCGAGAAACAATGAATAGAGAGAGAAATAGTATACTTATATGAAAAGGACATTTAGACCAATATGGAGGGTATATGTGTAAATGAATCAAAAGTGGCAAAAAGTCATTTTCGGCTACTCAGTGTAGTTTAGTTTAGTTTAGTTTAGTTTAGTTTAACCCCTCTACCATTTTGGCAACAGTGCTTAATTAAATTTTCTCAAATTATAAATCTCAAACTTTCAAAATTGTTTTATATCAATCAATTGATAAATCTAAGGGAGTTATTATTATTCAGTGCAGGCTCAACGGCTTTCCTAGCAAATGACAACTTCTACTTTCTTCCCACGTCAACATAAAAAAAATGCCGTGCCCATACAAAATCTACGTGGCAGCATATCATTAGCCAATAACTATAACCGGATGGATACCGAATCAATACTCTACACTTGTTTATAAGTGTTCCATAAATATAACCACCATCCTCTTTCTTTCCCAACGTCCCAAACATAGTTTCTGTTTCCTTTCACTTTTCCTTCTTTTTCTCTCTAGAGTGAGAAAAAATAAAAATGGAAGAAAACACTCGCAACAAGACGTACAAGAGATCAATGTCGGACACCGAGTCACAGGCGAGTCAGATTGACTCGTTTCACTCACCCCTCAGATCCGAGTCCCCACTCCGATCCGACGACCCCGAACCACCGCCCGACAAGTCGCCACCGAAGCCACCGCCGTCCAAATCGATCGTTTCCGTCGACAAGCGCTTCTCTCCCCTCCGATCTCCCCCTCAGAACCACCAGAAGCCGGAGAATTTGAATTTCCCGGCGGATTCGACGCCGGGAGATGCTACAGTGAAGCCGGCATCGCCGGTGGTGGTGATAAATCGGTCGGTGAAGGAGGATATGGCAGCGGGAGTGACGAAGGTGGGGGCGACCTTCGGAGGGAAGGGGTTTGCCGGTGGGGAGGACGGCAGTGGTGGTGGTGCTGGTGCTGGTGCTGGTGCTGGTGCTGGTGCTGGTGGGGAGAGGAGGTCAAGGGCGGCGGTGGCGGCGATACTGAAGAGGTCGAGGAAGGAGGTGGTGGTGAAGAGGGCTGCCTTAGGGTTTAGGGTTTGTGAGGTGATTTTGTGCTTGATTTCGTTCTCGGTCATGGCTGCGGATAAGACTCAGGGATGGAGTGGAGACTCCTTTGATCGCTACAAGGAATACAGGTCTGATTTTTCTACATGAATGATGAATGTGTATATGTATGTGTATTTTTGTTTTGTGCATATATAATGACATACTACATAATTGATAGTCACTCTAAATTGATATAATTCTATGTAATATAAGCTGTTTCTTATAAGCTGTTTCTTTCCCCTTTTTCCTTTCTAGGGCTTGTCTTGGGGTTGTGCAGTATAATTTTCACTTTTGTTACTAGTACTATTGTGCATATTTGAAGTTGAACTCATTAATTTACAATTGTGAGATCATTGAAATTAAACTTCATTAGCTACTCCTTAAGTCAACAATTTTACATTTGGACAAATTTCTCTATTTGAAATATGGTAAATATTGGGTAGAAGCTAGAATCTTTTGAAATTCAGCATCTGAATTTGTCTATAAATTTTTATTTTTTTAAATGTTCTGTTGAAATTGGTATAAATGTGGATGTTGAAACTTCCAAAATTATGCGCAGTAAGAAATGAAATGACAGGAGTTTATTCGTGAAATGGTTGAATTTGTAAATAAAATGAGAGAAATGCGACTAAGATAGCTTAATTGAGTGTAGTGGAATACTAATAACTGTTGCAACTGTGTGAAATAGTGGCTTGGTCTTCATTGAGAGTAATGCTAAATTGCTAAGGGAAGGAACACGTAGGTCTAAATAGTAAAGAAATACGAAAGTGTGTAATTTTTAACTGATGAAATAGGATTCCTGTAATCGGACATAAATAATTGGAGCAAGATTTTTTGTTGACTTTAGCAGGTCTAAAGTGGTCCAAATTCCAAAAGCTTTATTCTGATAAATAGATCTCAAATGGATTGATATGGTTTAATCATTTAAGTTGTGCAGTTTAAATTTATATTTTAATGGTGGAATGGTTGGAGCTTTTATATGTGGATTTAAAATAACAAGGTGCTGGGGTTATATGAAACCCACTTTTAGAAGGATTCAGTTGCAGAGGGATCCCAAAATTAATCTTCCCTACGCCTATGTGTCTACTCTCTTCCCTTGGCTTTCTTTATCCAATTTGAACAGTCAACTTTTCTTATATATTTATGAGTTGAACACAAAATCCCTTCATTTTATATTTATCCAAAAAATAAATAAAAAATGTAATAGAATTTTGAAATATATTAGGTTATTGGAACTTACGAATTAGCAATATGGCAGTAGTTGTCAATCATTGTTTATTCTTCAACTTGTTATTTTAAGTCTCCAAGGAGTCTTGGACCCAAAAGCATCATTGATTATTCTTGTTTTATTTGTAGTTCCTCAATGCTCTGATGCTAATCTTTTTCCTTTTTCTTTTTCCCAACTCTTAAGAACGTCACAGTTTACTAATTTAGGAACCTACTTTTAACTCAGGCCTGGATTGTATAAGGCGTAACTTATTTTTGTCCATTAAATAAACAATTAAAGCTCATTTTTAAAACTCTTTTTAGGTCCGACTCATATAGGCTCGTTAATGTAGTAATAAACCATCAAACCCATATCCGATACCTTTGTTCAAATCGTAACCCTATAGGCCTCTTTTATCTCTGAATAAAAATCCCATCTCCTACTTAAAAATAAAAAATATAAATAAATAAAAATATCATCTCTCACTAAAGAGACCCAATCCAACTTCCTAATCCCAAGCTTATATCCATCCTAATCCCCCAAAATATCTTAAATCTCTCTCTTTCTCCTATATCTCATAGCTCTCTAATACCCAAACCGTAACTGACTCGCCATTTGAGAAAACTTATGTGCTTCCTCCCTCCCCCTCCATTATTGGTAATCTGCAAGTGAGTTGCTCTTTACTCTCCCCCATCTATGTCCTCTATATCCTCATGTGGAACTCTTAATGTCTCATCTCTGTTGCCTACTGCTATTTTAGATCTGGAATCTCTCATCTCTAATGTCATATTGCACACTCTTATCTATTCCTTTAATTAGAATTAATGAGGAATGAAAGCACGTGGCCAAAAATAAATAAATAAATAAATAAAATTGAAGGAAGCTTCAAAATGATGGGATAGGGATGGCACATTGAATTGGTTGGCGGCTGGCAAGTTTGGCACTCATCTTGTAGCTGCTGGAAGCCGATTTGGCAGTCGATAAGCAAACATTCATTTATCTATTGAGCCTTCAGTTCTTGTTAATCCTGTTGAGAATAAGATTGTAAAATTGCAATTCTGTGGCAATTGAGAATTGAGGATGTCAATTAATTATTTACAAGCTCGAGTTGTGCGAAGCTCAAGCTTGGCTGAACTATGCATAGCCGAGTCCAAACTGGGCCTTCCAAACGTGATCTGAGCCTGAACAATCCAAAGCTAAACTCCTTTCAACTCAATTCATTTGCAACTATTGTTTTTATTTGCTAGTTGGCACCTACCAACAATTTCTGTTTGCATTAGCACTCTCCACTATTTCATATTTAGTTCAGCAAATATAGTTAGTTATTCTACTCTTACTAGGTCTTTTAAGCTGCAAGTTTTGAGCCCAAGTTACTGGGAATCTAGTTAATGATTCCATTCAATCATGTATTAGTTTTTCTATTACTCGAAGATATTTGGTTTTCCCAGTACCCACTGAAAACAACTTGGTTCCTCGGGCTTTAATAATCTCATATGTAAGAATATGACTTCTTCATTATTGATATGAATTGTTACCTATCATTCGTGGCATCCGGTTATAGGGTCAACAAAAAGATCATTCATACTCTTGGCTTCCGTGGGATGCAGCTGCCTCTTTAAACGTATAATTTCTTTCGAACTCTTTTGACAATTCGTAAATGATTTTTTATTTATTTTTAAATCAGTGAGGTATATTCTATTTTCAGTCCTTCCTCGACGCATCAACATTAACACTATGATGAATCAGAATCAGAGATTTGAACATTCTCTACTTCTTGCTTTGACAAAAAGAAAATTGAACTATTATCATCATTATTTTTATTTGTACTCCGACATTTCTTCTCTATTAGTTAAAATTAAAATTCTTAGACCCAATATTAATCCACATTACTTGTAAATCCTTAGCAATTAATTTGTTTAATGCAACAGAACTGATACCATTGACTGAAGTATTGCCTTCCAATGATGAAACAATTTTTATTTATACCACAATTTTTCTCGTTTGATACAAATGATGAAACTCGTATTTTGTTTTATTGTTTTCCTGTTTGCTCTTCCTTTTTTCTTCTCTAGAGTGATTTTATGTGATGATGGAGCTTGTTTGATGACAGGTATTGTCTAGCTGTGACCGTTATTGCATGTGTATATTCGGGGTTTCAAGCATATGATCTAGCCTACCATTTGATCACTGGGAAACATGTTATCTCTCACCACCTCCGCTATCACTTTGATTTCTCTATGGACCAGGCAAGTAGTTAAATCTTCATTATATATCAGCCATCTTTTATGTTGGTGATGTGCACTTTATAACAGATGAGCAGATAACTTGAGGAGAAAAAACATAAAGAGCAGGTGTAGGTTTATGATAACTTTGGCTTTAGTGGTAATTGTGTTTGATCCATCATAGATTCAGTTTGCTTCACCATAATAACATGCAACGACAGTTATGAAGGAAGTAAAAGTAGTACAGCCAAATCACTACAAGATCTTTTGTGATTATATTCTTATCATTACTTGACCTTGATTTATGCAACATCATTCAGAAATCACCTTTTAGGCTTGACATCTAATTTCTAACAACAGAATTTTAAGTTTGTATGTTTATTTACTGAAGGAATGCTTTGTTTGGTTGATGTCTATTGCAGATACTGACATATCTTCTTATATCGGCATCGTCATCAGCAGCCACCAGGGTTAATGATTGGGTGTCGAACTGGGGGAAAGATGAGTTCACAGGGATGGCAAGTGCATCTGTCGGGATGTCCTTCCTGGCTTTTGTTGCCTTTGCCTTAAGCTCCCTCATATCTGGTTACCATCTCTGCAACCGCAACATTACTTGATCTTGAAACCGGTCCCAACCATATATTTCTTGGTTTTAAAATTGGGAATACGACCGATTCTAAAGTTGTACAGATCGAGACATTATATAATAGATTCATTAGCAATTTTTCTTCATAAATGTGATAGATTCAGTTGTGCTTCTCACTACACAGGAGGTGAAATAAGATTCTATACATCTGGTGCTTGTATATATCTTTGGAATTGAAATTAGTCTTGTATATCTCAGAAAACCATATTAGTCTTCATTGCATTTGAGGATCATCTGTTTCATCTTCTTCCTCTTTCTGTGGGCATCAATGAATAAACTTGTCCCTTTCTTCTTGCATCAATTGAATTGTGAAAGTACTCATTAGAGATTTGCAAACATAAAGATCCAAACATCCTTTTGCTTCATCCCAACCTCTCACTCTTTCTATAAATAGAGGTGTTGCAAGAGGAAGGAGTCCTCGGTCAACACAACATAACTTTAGATCTAATTTAACTTGGCGTAGTTCTTAGCTCAGTTGGCTTAGCTACCTAGCTTAGTTAGAGCTGTTTCCTGTTTGGCATAGAATAAAGCTCTTTTGTCAACAGAGGTGTCAAAAAATTGGGGTTACTGAAAAACTTGTTAGGTGTTAATAAGTATTTTTATAATTAAATTATTTTAAAATTTGTTGGGTAATTTACATAGATCTCCCTCATGGTTTGCCATAATTACATGGATCTCCTCTGTTTGTTTGGGAATTTATTCGAACTTCCCCTAACAATGAAAATATCTTTCACGGACCTCCCTTATGTGTGATGGATCGTCAAACGGACCTGTCATATTTACTAAAATGCCCTTACGTTGTCATCTAAAAGTACTAAAGTACCAATATGCTATTAACTATGCATGACGTCACTGTATCAGTTATACACAATTGCCTTATACATATCCTTTTGGAGGAAAAATTGCCCTCCATTGTACATTTGTTTCCCAAAGCTGATGCCCTTTCATATGCCTAATCAATATTAGATCATGCAAGTTAGGGTTTTATATCATTTCAACACTTTGAGAGAAAGAGACAAAGATTATTTATGCTCTGCCAAACCCAAAGTTTGCATTGATAGAGACCGGGATTTACCAAAGATCGCATCAACAAACAATTTCGCTTTCTATATTCAGCATCAAATCCAAGTTCGTTTATGCAAAAAATGAGTTAAGGTTTGCGCGACATCGCATGAAAACAATTCGAACTCCAACCTATTGATCTGCGACATTGAAGTGCTCTAGGTTAAAGGTATGTGGAAATTTCTACAATATCTACTTGATTTTTTTGCAAAATCAAAATGTAAAAGTTAGGGTTTCGATGTTTCTTATTAGTTTAGGGTTTCTATTTTTTATTACTCTATATTTAGTTTAGGGTTTCTGTTTATTATTACTCTATTTAGTTTAGGGTTTTTATAATTGCAATTCTGTCTAATTTGGGGTAGTTGTTCAGTTCATTGTTTGGGGTAGATTTTGTTTATTTTTTGTTTATTATTGGTTTTTTTTTTTTTTTTTTTTTTTTTTAATTGTTACAATGGAATCAATTCATGATATTATTGTTCACTATGAGAGGAACCTAACTTTTATAACTGATGTGGATTCGGATTTTTATAGCATCTTTGATATTATTAAAGATGCAACAGGAGTAGCTTTATCTCGTATTCCACCTATTGTCCCTTTGTCACTGTATTTGTCTTGTGTTGTTCCTGGGTCTTCTCCTAGAATGCCTATGGATAGTGATAAAGATGTGTTAGAGATGTTTAAAGTAAATGTTTGTAAGAGATTGATAGACTTGTATATTGACAAGGTTGTCACTGATGTAAGTCTTGAATTTAGCTCAATTGAGACCATGGACTTTGATGATAGGAACTTTGATGATAGGAACTTTGATGACAGTAACTTTGATGATAGTAACTTGGATGATAATGAGACAAATGTCAATGACAATGATGCCAATAATGTGAGAGACAATGAGACCAATGTCAATAACAATGATGACACTAATTTGAATGCGACGAACCTAGTTTTTCAAGCCAGTGCGTCTTGTGATGAACCGAAGATTGACCCGATAATAGATTTGAATGCGGAAGTGAAAACAGAAAACAAGACTCTAAGAAGTCAAAGTGACCTTTCATGAGGTTGTGGAACTCAATGAGAAATGATGCTGAAGCAAAAGATCGAAAATATGACAAATAAGCCCCCAGGGGCAAAATGCTAATTTTCTAAAAATATGAATTCGGGTGCCACCGAGCACACTGCTGGAAAGATAACGAAAAACTAATCAAGATGGACTCAAGAATCACATGATTCGGAGTTCGGACGAAGGAGAAACGGCATGACGAAGAAAAATAAGCACTTAAGGCTAAAAGGGTAAACTGGTAACTTTTTAGGAAGATACGAGTGCAACCCAGCACACCGTTGGAAAGATAGCGAAAAATTAGTCAAGTTAAAAAAAAGTTCACTCGATTTAGAGTCCGGACGAAGGAAAACGAGTGAAAACAAGAATCGACGTCACAACGTTGAGACGAGCACCCCACGAGCATCCTGACATGCTAGGGGAAGAAAAAAGGCTCAACCAGAACTGAGAGCCGAAACGAGGTCCGAAACGACTTTTTCTGGAAAAACACAAAGAAGAAAACCCCTTAAAATCGAGTTTTCTACCCGACTACATGGAAGAAAATGAAAAAACCTCACTTTGAAATACATAAAATGTCCCTAGATCAGAAGAGGTCAAGAGGGCCAAAAAGAACTGTTATAGTAACTGTCCACATTTGAGAGCAGAAAAGGGCTATCAAACAATTTTTTCTGGAAAAACACGAAGTAGAAACCCCTATCGAAATCAAATTAAGAAGAAACCCCTCCCGAAATTGAATTTTCTACCCAGCTACGCGGAAGAAAATGAAAAAAATTCACTGTGAAATACCTAAAATGCCCCTAGATCAGAAGAGGTCAAGAGGGCCAAAAAGAACTACTACATTAACTGTCCACATCTAAGAGCAGAAACGGGCTATCAAACGCATTTTTCTGGAAAAACACGAAGAAGAAACCTCTCCCGAAATCAAAATTTCTACCCGGCTACGTGGAAGAAAATGAAAAAAATACAATGTGAAATACCCGAAATGCCCTTAGATCAAAAGAGGTCAAGAGAGCCCAAAAAGATGGTACAGTGACTGTCCACATATGAGATCAAAAACGGGTTATCAAACGAATTTTTTTGAAAAAACATGAAGAAGAAACCCCTCCCAAAATCAAATTTTATACTCGGCTATATAGGAGCAAATGAAAAAAACACTGTGAAATGGCCAAAATGCCCCTAGATCAATAAGAGCTTAAAAACTCAAAAAATACAACTTTGCACCAAGTATGTATTTGACCCTAAATGCATTTCTAGATTGAAACGGATGTCCACGCAAGTGTAATAAATGATTCTAAGCACGCGGGAATGGTCTGCGGCTCCCGAGAAGCCCCGACTCAAAATCCGATCCCCCGATGGCCAAAAATGATAAAAATGAACAAGAAATGGAAAATTTGAAAACAAAAATTAACAAATGATTTCAAATTACCGTTTGACCCTTGGCCACACTTCAAACATGATTAATGAGACCTTATAAAAGAATAAAAATGGAATTTCCACACCCGATACAAATATGGTGAAGCAATGACTTGTCATTTTTTCAATATTTTCATAACATTTCATGAAATCAAGAATTTCATAAGATGCAATATAAATGTCATCGGCCTCCGGCCTCATCTCACACAAGTCAAATGCATCATAAAAGGTGTACTTATATACACATTACACATATGGAATCAAAGATACAAGTTTAGACATATAAGGCTACAAAATGACATTTCATGCTAACATTTGCAAGAAATGGAAACTTAAAAGCTGCAAGTCATCCAAAGTATGATGAGCATCACAAACCAAGTCTATATACCTGAAACAAATCCCCAGTAACTTCGAGGTGAGTAACATAAAGCTACTCGTAGGAAATGAGTATGCATTGACCTAGCATTTTACAAAATTATCACTTTAAGGTGAAACAAGTCAAAAGGGCTCATGCCACCTAACGTCTATGTCAAGATGAGACTCGGGGAGCATCCTAAGCTACCTTAAATCATTTCTAGCATAAATCACATTATTTATGCAATTTAACAACATAGAAGCATGTTATACGAAGCAACCAGATATAGATTCTCAAAGTTATAAACTTGAAATCTAAAATGCGAAATCAACTAAAATGGTTCATGCTACCTAACGTCTATGTCCCAAATGAGTGTAAGGAATCATCCTAGGCTACATTAGAACAATACAACCCAAATCACAATATTGATGCAATTTAACCAGCACTGGAACTTCCAATACAACGCATAAAGTATGATTTCTCAAAGTTAACATCTTGAAACTCAAAATGGGAAATAAAATAAGGAACAACAAGTTATGACATCATCTAGTTATTAACTTGAAATGAAAAGTGAAATCAAACAAGGTGGATACCTGGACATCATGCCGGATCAGACCAACACCATAGTTACTTTAAGGTTACTAGCCCATAGGTAACCTCCCAATGTGCGCACTAGACTATAGAGGGACAATCCCCCGTACTAGAAGCATGTCCTAGTCCTAGTCAAACAACAACATCCCCAAGTTTCTAAAATTAACAAGTTATGCAACAACGTATATATAATACCCCTAGTTTTCAAAAGGATATAATTAGAATTTTAAATTTTTATTTTTTGTGCATTTTTATTTGATTATGTGGCTATATGTGTATTTGATTGATTGTTTATTTGGACTATGTGTTTTAATTGTGTGTTAAATTGTGGGAAATTTCTTGTAATGTATTTGTTAGTTTTAATTGATTAATTATTTTATTTTTAATTTTAATGTTAATTTTAAAATGGAGTTGGATTTGGGATAATAGTAATGGACCAACCATTTGAGTCACATGGACTACTTGGATAGGAGAATAAATGGGTACAGTTTTACTCATAGATGGATATACATGTATATATGGGTATATATGTATTTTGGGTTAGTTTAATTATTTGAAATTGTTAATAATTAAATTAGTTTCATTATTTATATATATGTAATATAATGTGTTTGGGTTTTATATGTATTCATTAAAATTGCCGACTTATATACATATATGTATTTTATATTTTTGTTCTGTTTTCTTTGCCGACTCCTCACATGATTGGAATTAGGTTTTATTTGAAACCTATATATATGTCATTATAAGTCTGCCTAGGGTTAAGAAAAC